CTTTGGATTATTTGATAGAATCCTCAAGTGGAGAGTTTTACATATGTATTTGAGCTAGGTAATAGCACTTATTGCCATTACAAGATAAGGAAACCAAGGCACATTTTAAGAGACTAATTCAAAATCAAACAAGAAATAAGTGGAATCAATGATAATGAAATGTCTTTATCTGACCTCAGAGCATGTATTTCTACCATACACAGTAAAGCACGTGTAGGGTAGAAGAGAGCCAGGCAGGAAAAACTAAACTGCATGCTGGGAGGAAGAAGTAGGAGTAGAGAAGCCATATAGCTGCTCCTGAGACAGACGTGCTGAAACTTTGCTGGTAGGCCACAACCTCCTGGTGATGCAAGATTAATGGAGATGGGTTAAATTAAGATGTAAGAGTTAGCAAATAAGAAGCTAGAGCTAATGGGCCAAGGAGTGATTTAAATAATACAGTTTCTGTGTGATTAGTTCAGGTCTGAACTGACAAGCAGCTGAGAACCAACATGTCACCCTCCACCAGCTATATTTCCTGAAGTCATTAGTTGCCTTTCTAGAGGCAGCATATAATAGTAAATTAAATCAGCCCCTTGAGTTTCAGGAAGTTTTAAAGCAGATGGCACATTGCATTTATTTTATGTGTATAGATTCAACAAATTATTAAATTATATATATATATACATATATATATATATATATATACACATATATGTATATATATTTGAATTTTCGAGACAGGGTTTCTCCATAGCTTTTTGGTTCCTGACCTGGTACTAGCTCTTCTAGACCAGGCTGGTCTCGAACTCACAGAGATCCGCCTGCCTCTGCCTCCCAGATGCTGGGATTAAAGGCGTGTGCCACCACCGCCCAGCATAATAATATATATTTTAAGCATCTGTCTATTTTCTTTTTAAAAGCATTTATTCTATATATGTGGCAAATGATTATCACTTAACTAGTCTATAAATTTACTGAATCATGGCATTTGCTACTGAAATTAGGACAGCATAGTTTACTTAACTGTGTGAGAAAAAAAATGAAATATTTAGTAAACTAGAATAATTTCCATCACTTTAAGAGTAACCCCATAAGGTTTTGGGTGGATGGAAGACATAAGGTTTTGGCTGCTGGGCTGTGGGTGCCACTACGATGAACACATATATGTTGGAGAGTTGGGAAAAATAGAGCATGTGGTAGACGGGAGAGCAAGTGGACCTGAGTGGTTTATGCACTGTGGAGACAGGTAGAACTAGAGGCACAACTTTGAGGAGCAGGCTGATGTGGGAGGCCATGGTGATATCAGCCAGGCTGCCACCTGTTGCCATCAGTGGCCATTTCAGTGTTTGTGGTCTGGGTTGATGCCTGAGGCTATGTTGATGTCTGGCTGTGTGCTGCCACCAAGGGCCATATCTGGATCCCAGGTTCTAGCTCATGTTTGTGGCCCATGCTACCACGAAAGTCCATACAGATGTCCATGGTCTGGGCTGCTGACTGAAACCATGTTGACGTTCAAACATGCTGAGATAGCCCACACCTTGACAGTTGCAGGAGAACTTTCAGGGTCTAAGGGTCTACAGCTCCCAACATTCATGGAGTAGCATAGACAGGCAGTAATATGAACCTGGGGAAATGAGTCCCATCCTTGTTGGGGGGTAGGGTAGGGGAGACCCAGGCTAACCAGCTCAGCTACCATCCAGGCCCAGATCCAGAACCTTGAGTTGACCCATCTCAACCTACCCTTTTGATGAGCTGCTGGAACTCATGAAGGGACTGGTCCTGTGGAACCATAGCAACAGGATCTCCACAACTTGGAGAAACATCAAGCTATGTGAGAGAAGTCTTGGTGAGGGTCGAGGACCGATGGTATAGCAGAAACCAGAGGCCTTGAACCAGACCAATGACTCATTGCAAAGAACATTTTCAAGTAGAGCTGTTTGGATAAAAGGGCACACAGCCTGACACACTGCAGCTTCCGATGCCATTGGGAGGAACAAATATGTCATGGAGAAGGGGGGAAGACAGAGTAGAGGAATGGTGAATCATGGTAGAACAGTGCTATGGGAGGAGGCTGTGACTGATAGAGGATTAGGTCATTGCCAAGAAAAATTGGAGGTTTTATTTTTAATTGTTAAATTTTCGTTTGGTGTGGAGGTTACAAGGGTGGAGGGTGGATATAGAGGTCTGGTAAATGAGTGGGAATGAGGTGCACAAATCAAATAACAACGTTTAAAATTTTTTAAATGCTGCACAATTAGTTTCAGAATTCAAAGTATGAAATTTACATATTTTATATAATGGGGTTATTATTTAATTTTCATGCAGTGATTACCATAATTTTTAAAAACTGGATGAGATATGTAGCGATGATGAATTGTCACGGAAATGAACTTCCCTATTAAAATCATGCAGAAGGCCTGAGATAATTGCACAGGCCTTTATAGAATTCAGGATGCGACTCTTCAGCAGATGGTTACATCTGTAAGTGGTGGGGAGTGGAAGAAGACTTGATGCGTGAGGAAGGTCTTGAGTGAATGTGTGCTGTTGACATAGGACTGGGCACCCTTATAAGAGTTGCTGCCATCATGGCGTCACCTCATAGCAATAGCAAACCTAACGAGGCCACCTGCAGAGATTGCTATTACTATGACTAGCTAAACCTGCTCCCTAGTTTAGCTTACCATAATAACCCCATCTGCTTGTTCTGCTGTATTAAAGAACCCTGCTGCTCCCTTCAGCTCCATATGGTAAACATGCTGAGCTTCTAGGGCATCTGAAACTCCAGACTATGAATCCTATCTTTTCTGTGTGTCCCTGGAGCTCTCTTTTCTTCATCTGAAACTCCAGACTATGAACCCTATCTTTTCTGTGTGTCCCTGCATCTCTCTTTTCTTCATCTGAAACTCCAGACTATGAACCCTATCTTTTCTGTGTGTCCCTGGAGCTCTCTTTTCTTCATTCCTTCACTGCCCCAATCAGGTCCATCCATGCAACTGTGATGGACGTGGAAAAAAAGTCACCTCTTAAGTGGAGCATTTTAATGTAAAATGTACTCTTTACCATTGTAAGTCGTCAATCCCGTTGCTCAGTTTTGAATTCTTAAAATGAATCACTTTTAAATCTCATTTAACTAAGTAGTATGAATATTTCAAAATTTTTCCTACAACTAGAAGCAGTTTCAGCATAATCACTATTTTTAAGGGATTTTGGAAAATAAAGTCATAATGGACAGTTTACCAAAGTAATTAAGTTGAAAATGGTGATAAAAAGGTGAAGTTACTTCAGGTTCTTTTTAACAAACAATTTAAAATAAAACAATTGACCCTTATATGTAGGTCACCAAGTCGCATTCCCCTTACCCTGCTAAGGCTGGACGGTGGTGAAACTCATCCAGCCAGGCAGCCAGAGGAGTCCCTCTCCTGCCTCTCCCGCCTCTTCTCGCTTCTCAGTGCTCAGCACAGGATCTTCTCATATCTCCAGTGGTTCCTCTCAATATCCTTGCCAGGGACTGCTGCCACAGTAAGGCTCTGAGCTTAAACTGATTCCAGTCTTCCCGAGGAAAACCTTTCTCTCCTTACAACACAGCCTTGAAACCTTGAGCAAGTTTCTGAAGATACTTGAGTCCTAATTTCTTCATGTAAACAATGCCAGCTGGGCATTCCTTTTACATCCTCATGTATGAAACACTAATTTACACCCTGGGCGAGTGCCTGCCCCTCTCAGCCTCTGTACTCAGTAACAATCTGTGTTGACTGACATAGCTCTCCATAGAGCACTCATGCTAACACGTGGATGTGCTGAGCTGTGCTGTGTGGTGTTAACACCACTAACTTTCTTTTTAAGCCTTGCTCCATCATCCTCCTGCCCTACGAGAACTTTCAAAGCCAGTCCTTTTCAAAGACTTCCATGAACTGAAGACTGACCTCTTTGCATGAGTTTTCACCCACAGCTAGCCACATCGACAGGGACGCTGATGTCCTAACCAAATCCACACATTTCTCTCATATTTTCACCCTTGTGAGTTTGAGTCAACTGATTTAGATTTCCTAATATAGAGAACAAATGATGAGTTTACGAATCTATATCCACATTTACAATCAATAAACCCATTTCATTTTGGAAGAAGATCTGCAATATCTAATCCATGCCCATTATTTTCTACTCTCTATTATTTAAATGTAAAGCATAAACTCTGATACAATATTAGTATTTGAGATCTCATCTACCATTCAAATGTAACAGATTAACCCTGATGTTATATTGAAACTCAAACAATGCAGAAGAATTCATTTAATATATATATATATATATATATATGTATTTCTATAGAGGTATTCATTTAAGATGTTATTGGAGACATTTCAGAAAGTAGATATTTTTATTGACAATGATGAACAAACACATTTCATGCAGCTCATCTTATAATTCCTTCATGCAGTGTAAGTCCCACAATATTCTTACTTAACATATATACATAAAATGAATTTATATATAGAATAAAATGGCATTTTAATGACTTATACATATAAAGTTTTTAAACTCAACATAAAGGAAATTATCAAGAGTTAATATGCATGACCAGTAAGAACTGGAAGAATAAAATATTGACTTTGCAAGGCCATACTTCTTGCATGAAGTATAATAAACTCCACAGCTCAGGCTGCTCTGCCTTCCCGAAGACCACAGTCAGAGATGGGCACAAGCAACTCAACCTTCATGAAGTTCTTCAGACTTTCCTAAAGCTAACCTAGAGAAAGTTGAGTCTCTAAAATAACATCAAATAACATCTCATAAGCCAAATTAAAAAAAAAAACACAGAATCAAAAAAAAATGATAGGAGAGTGAAAAGCAATTCCAGCCTCTTTACAGATTGGGAGCAATAGGTGAGAAAGGTGAGGAAAACGAGACATTCTGTTTCTTGTTTATACCCAATATTTCCAAGTCTTTACTTTTTCTTTTGTGATGTTGCTATAACCACACTAGGCAGGTGTTTTCTCACTGAGCCAATTTCCAACTCCCTTCTTTTTTTTTTTATAAGGTGTGATGAATTCCAAAACAAGGTAAAAAGGCATATTATCACATACTGTGGAGGCAATTTTATAATTAAGAATAATTCTGAAGATTATTCATGATCTCCATTATAATGTGACCAGTCTGCTAATTAACATAGCTCTAAAATAATAGCTAAGCTGTCTAAATTCTCATCCCGTGAGGGAAAGAGTACCTTAACATTTCAATTGAACTTCTTTGTAGTAGTAAACAGGTTCTTCACATAAAGGCAGTATTTTTCATTTATTTTATGGTAGAAGTCATTTATATTTGGCACACATAATTCCATGGACATGAGCACTAATCCATTTTTACAACCTAAGCATCACATCCTGTCATCTGGGAACATCTAATTCAGGAAAAAGAGTAAAATAAGTCCTCTCCATCCCGCAACTGTCAGCTCTATGTAGTGACAAGATGAAGAAAACAACTGAATTCTCTTCCAGGCACAGGAAGGAGAGCCTAGGGACCTGTCTTTGGAAGCTTGTAGATGACTGTCATCTGTGCTCTTTAAGCCAGCAGGAGCTGACCAGCGAGGGCAGGACTTCTGTCTTTAACTAAGGCAGCTATGATGGAGGCACCTTGTTGGAAACTCTCTTGTAGTTTCTGCTCGTCCTAGAAAAAAAAAAGATAAACAATAATATACAAATTAAAAGCAGAACACAAGGATTTCAAAAATAACTATGATTAACACATTTTAAAAAAGAGAGTTAGACCAAAATGCGGATAAAAACAGAAAATAGAAATTTGCAAAATATCCTTTATACCAAAAAATATTTTACAGGGACAAAATACAATGCTGAAATTAAGAATTGATTAAGCTGGGTTGGCATGAGATTGAAGCTGTGTTGGCAGAGCAGAAGCCAGTGTTAGTGACCCTAAAGATAAATAAGAGCAGTATATCAGGTGAGACACACAGAAAAAATGGTAATGCTATATTTTAATATCATGTAGCATTATTATCATTATATTTTCATTATCTATTTATACTCCCTCCCTCTGACCACAAGAAAACACATATGGACCATTTAGGAAACCACAAAATAGCATCCCTAGACGTCATCTGGGAACATCTAATTCAGGAAAGAGAAAAGAGTAAAATAAGTCCTCTCTATCCCAGAACTGTCAGCTCTATGCAGTATGGCCAAATGCAACTATCATATGGTGGTCACGAGGCACACAAGCAGGAGGGCCCAGCAACAGCACCCAGTTCTGAGATGTTGGCTTGCAAAGGTGAAAGCGCAGGATGAGAGAAATGAGCTAAATGTCTGGAGTGGATAAGAATGGTTTTTGATAATCAAACATCAAGACTGGTCTGACAGACATGTACCAGTGCCATAAGCCGGGTCACAAGGCGGCGAATACAGCCTAATTCCCATACTAAAAAGTAAAGAAAAAACAACCCACGTTGAACTCATCAGCAGTTCTCTCTATAAATGCAAGAACACTAATTCTAGGGCTACAGAGACAGCCCAGAAGTTTAGAGAGCATACTGCTCTTTGATAAGAGTCCCCTTCTCACGACCCACACCAGTCTCCTGTAACTCCAATGGCAGGGGTCTGCTGTACTCTTCTGACCTCCATGGGCACTGCCTGCACACACACATCCCCACAGAGATAAACACCTATACACATGCTTAAGAGTTAAAGAAATGTTCAATGCTGCACACCAGTGTTTGCATCAACTGTTATAACACAGTTGCTGGACTGGAATAAGTGAGTTGTACTCAGGGCTACGAATGCTCTATGGTCTCTAGCAGCATGCACTCCAACCCCGTCACAATCACTGCAGGGCTCCCATTTGGTCTGCTGCCCTATTCACTGGTACAGCACTCTAAGAATTTTTTTTTTTACTTAAAACTTTATTCTCTTGCAAAACAATAAAAACCTAGCATGTATTTGCCAATTCAGCATTTACTTTTTTCTATCTTCGGCTGTACCTATAGCATGGCAAAGGTAAAAACTCAGCAGAAAAGGGAAGCAAGTGGACTCCAGTGTTTTCACTGAAGGAAAGAATATTAGCTGTTAAATAGAGCCATGTGAGTATGACACATCTGAGATGGGTCAACTTGACTACATCTGGAATTAACCAAGAGTCAGATGACTGGGTACATCTGTGAGTGATTTTTCTTCTGAATTAGATCATTTGAAATTGGAAGTCCCACTTCTAATCCAGATCTTTGAGGTGGAAAGATCTACCTTTAATCTGGGTCACACTTTCTGCTGACAGTTTATATAAAGACCACAAAAAAAAGGAAGTGCTTTCTTCCTGGCATTAAGAGTAAACTTATTTGGGATTCCAGTACATACTGAAGAGTAGCTGATACATCCAACCTCAGCTGGGGACTGAACAACTACGGGATTCTCAAGCTTTCCTTTGGTAGACAGCCACTGTTGGATTAACTGGCGTCTGTGAGCCACTATTAAAAAATCCCTTTTATATATCATAATCTGTAAGTTCTCTTTCTCAAGAGACCCAAGACAATCCAAGAGATTTATGGAAAGTCTTTATTCTTTGTGCTTTGCTGTATTTAAAAAGATTTAATACAAACTTATTTTAGGTTTCTCATAAGCAACACAAATTACATTTATTTGCAAGGAGGTTTACATTTAAATTGAATTTGCATCATGTAAAATCAATAATCTAGAATTTTCTCTAAATTTTCAGACATTAATGTCTACACATATCTCCAATTTATGAAGAAAATGTTTTGTTAGGAAAATCCAGCCTTCTTTAAGAGACTGCCAAAAGAACATTAATAATTTAGCAAGCTTGAGCTTTCTATTGACTTAAGTCAATAGAATAGTAAGCAATATATTGTGGCAGTCAAGCTAGAATAATCAAGTTTGTGCTTAGCTTGACTCGGTGCCTAACAATTGCTCAATGACATACTGAGAGCTTCAGTGTCAGATTTTGAAAGTGTTAGGAATAATAACAAAGGAACCACATAAAATACTACTTTTAATGTTCTACATACTTAAACTACAATTCTGAGCATCAGAATCTACCATGAGTTTTACCTAGGAAACTTTATTCATTTACTTTTCCACCACCTACAATTTCAAGGCTGAGTTGAAATATACCATGATTGTATAAAGGTTGTGCTCATGAACACGCACGCGGGCACAAGTTCTGATCACCACTGTCTTTTTCTCATCCGAATTATAGTTTATCTTTGAAGCTTTTAAATTTTACAATATAAATTATTTCTTACTTCCATCCAACCCGTCACATAGCTCCCTTTACTCCCTCTCAAATTCATGGTCTCTTTAATTATTATTTATAGACACATATGTATCTATATGCGTTTGTATATGTATGTGCCTAAGTACATAAATACAACCTGCTGTTTCCTGTTACTTGCATGTATGTGATTTCAGGGCTGATCATTTATTTTTGGATAATTGCTGTGGTCCAGCACCAACCAGCTGTCTAATTGGACTTAGGCCTCTCTGAATAGGAGGGAAATTATACCTGGTGATGGAAACACAGTTAACTATCCATGGCTAGTGATATCATGGAGAAATAGTGTAAGAGCCAGAGAACAGGCAGTGTGCCGTGAGATTGTATCTTCTAGAAATGACAGGAGAGCTACATCCATGATACGTCAGCACTATGGCTGCCTCAAGAAGACTACCAAATGACATGCTGATGTGTAAGGGGTACATATCATGAGGTCCCAAAACCCCAATGTGCCACACCTCTTAATCACTCTCATTTTCGCCTACTAGGGACCAAGTATTAAAATATATAAGCCTATGAGGGACATCCTCATTCAAACCACCACACACTTACCCACAATTTGAAGTAAATATAAAATAATATGATTCTCTATGCCTTTTTCAAACCTCCTTAGTGTTATTTATCCCGCCTTCATTCCTCTTCTTCTGTAATAATCTGCATTGCCTATTACCAATTAAGTCTCACCTATTTTCTCCATATTTTCCTTCATATCACTTTTACCCTGTTCTTTATAGCACTTGCCCTCAAAAATCAGAACTATTATATTTTCACCAGATAAGGCAATATTCTAATTTTATTTCACAGCAGTTAAGTTTTGTGCGTAGAAGCATACACATTGCTTCGGCCTTGTCCTGTGTGTGATATGGGTAGCTTGTTGGTTTTTTTCATGCCCATCATATCTTTCACCTTCTGCAAAGTAGCAAAGTCTTGAGGCAGAAATTTTTATGAGACTTCTAAGCCTCTGGTGAGCTTTTTATAAAATATGTGATTCTTTAATGTCACCAAAATAATACCGCCTCAACTCATAACAGTTCTCTCTTTCCTTCTTCCCAAGTCCACCTTGGCATTTAAAACAGGAAAAGCCCTTGTTCCAAAACTAAATTGCAAAGTGGTATTCAGAAAGCACATCAGCGAATGGCACCATGGGACTTGTGTCTGCATCACTTTTCACACTCATTGTCCTGCATGATTCTGCATGATTCTTTGTTCATGATTCTGAACAAAGGCCATTTTTGGAGAAACTGCTTCCAGAGTACTTGAAGTAGAGGATCTCATTAAGAGGTGGATTCCAAAACATTAACACTTGAAGAAGAGTATACATTTATGTTACAAGAATGAAGCATGTAGGCTTTTAGAATTCAGCTTCAAAGAATAGCAGGAAAGGCTATGAAGTCATTGTTCTCCCAATCTTTACAGACAACACAAAAGGAAATTTTTGAGATATTCATTCTCTATACACACACTCCTGAGGAATGCAATGAATTTTGCTGAGAACCATAAAGTTAAAATATATGAATATATATTTAGACTTCAGATGTCTCAGGAGATTTTAACATCCCTCCAGAAAAATAAACATTGTATTGTCTAGGCAAATTCCAAATTCCAAACCCAACAGTGAACTCAGCTTCCTGGAGCTACAAAACCCAGAAACTCAGGCTGTTTACACTTTGATGCTAACATCCTTCACTTTATTAATCTTGCTTTAGTAAATGCATAACAAAAATTAATCTATGTGCCCCAAAACTTCAAATATCATAAACAAACAAAACTGTTAAAATCATAAATGTGCATATATTTGGCTATATCTATCATTCCAAGTACAAAGCAAAAAAGTTGTTAAACAGTAGTTTTTATAAACTTTCAGCCCTCTTGCTATATTAATGAATATAATCACTAATATAAAATCAAAATTATTTGATGCTAATTTTGTTTTTATATGCATTTTGCAAATATGGGAAAAAGAAGTGCAATGGTGCCACAGTGTCACCTAGTGGAGATAAGCTGAAGTGTTCAGGGCAGGTCAAAGGAATCACCCCTTGACAGCTTTGATAACAAAAAAAGTAAAAAAAGCATTTTAAGCTGGACATATTTTTATTATTTATTGATTTGATTCACGTGATATCTTACTGAAAATGTTACTATTGATTATTCAGAACAAACAAACAAAATAGATGAAAATGCCATAAACTAATTATCCAGGACAAAGAAGATAAACACACACACACACACACACACGCACACACTCAGAGAGAAAGTCTCCTCTTTCTTCTTTGGGCTAAAAGAAAAACTCTCTCTCCAAAGTCTCCAAAGTCTAGGTAATAAATATTATGGAAAATATATTTGGGGTTGTAGATAATCAGCCACCATATTTTCCATCTAATACCACAGCTTTACAGTACAATCGATGCTTAACAAGTATTTGTGGGATGGGAAAATTATTAAAATGGGATAACCTAAAGTTATTAAATATAAACTACAAACAATGCCTTAGGATGCAACACCAATACTTTGTTGAATAGGAAAAAAAAAGGAATGATAACAAGAAGCTGATTAAAATAGAGGCAAAACGTGGGAAGGGAAAACAGCAGATTCTGTCCTGAAGAGAGAGCAGTTCATTGCTGTGGCAATTGCTACTAGACCTGGAATGTGTCACACAACTCTGCCTCATCTTCTTATAACATTACTCATTTGTAGTATCAACTTTATAACATAACAAATTTGAAAAAGTGGCCTTTCCTGTATTGTACTCTTTGACTAGCAAAACAGCTTGGGCCTACACAACTCACTCAACAGTGGCCCAAGACATTCATTTTCCACCACGGCATTCTCTCCAGTCAGGCTTCAAGTTCAGTGTGTGCGCACAGCACATGGGCCCACAGAACTCTTGGACAGCCCTTGGCTTTCCTATCGCCACTCTACTGCTCACCAGGGACTAGTTCTGCCTCACTGAAACACACCCATCAGCGTTCATCATTCCACTCCAGAGGATCCACAATCAACCTGACGCAAGCTTCTGACATTTTCACATAATGATATTGTGAATGATGTCATAAGAGAACTCAGAATGCATTTTTGTGGCTGTGCCTCCTTCCCCAGATAATAGCTTCTCAATCGCTGTCTTTCTAACACACATCTAAGACCCAACTATGACAGCTTCCTTCATCACGTACGCTACGCATCAGCAATTTTTACTACGATTTTTATACTATTACTAGTATTTCTATAGTTATCATATTAACAGGTATCATATTCTTAGGTAAGTCATGAGATGCTAAGGCAGAACCCTCCCAATTTGTATTCTACAGTCAAAGCACTACGTCCATTGTACGTCTATGTTCATCATATGTGCTCTGCAGATAGATGTTAGATTATCCAATTCTCCAAAGGTCAGGCTTTCCACATAACAAGGGTAACTATGATATATTGGAATTTTTAGCTAATAAATATCATATTTGAAATAACCAATAAATCATGTGCATGTTTGAAATAATGAATAAGTCATGTGCATTTTTTGACAAAGTTACAGGCCATTATCACGAACAAAACTCATGCTTGAGCTCCCTGCAACAGTGTGACATGGGGGAAAATCATGAGGAAAGACTTATGTTTTAATCTAGCCTGCAGTTTTGAGTCACACAACACTCATCATTTCCTGGTGCACATGAAGCCAGTGGGCCACAGACTGGATGCATCCATTACTACATCTCATGGAGCAGCTGTAACACAAGTCAAAAACAAGGAATTTGTGCTCAAATTTCCTCTTATGAAACAACACCTGGTCTGAGAATTACGCATCATGGACAGCCATGGGAATCTACTCTTCTACATTCTATCGAATGCCAAGGGCTCATCACATGACAGGCATTATTCTACACAGGATAGGTGCAAAGGAGGAAGCCCACACATTAGGAGCTGGTTGGCAAGGAATCTGAAAAGCAACTCAGCAAAGGGGGACGGAGAGACGGTTTGGTGTCTAAGAACACTTGCCATTGCAGAGGACCCGGGCTCAGTTCCCAGCACCCATGTGGTGGCTCACAAGCATGTGTCACTCAAGTTTCATGGGATATGATTCCACTTCTGTGCTCAGGCACCAAGCACGCATGTGGTACACATACCAACATGAAGGCAACTTACTCATACTCAAAAAAACAATTTTTTTAAAAAATGACCCAAGGATGCCAAAGGTCAGTTGTGTTCAGATAATGCCTTCCATTTAAAATGATGGACGACCAAAGAAACGGATTTTTAAGGCATTTCCTTTGCAGATGGGAGCAGAGTAACAGCGAAAATTTCCTTTTTACTTATGTGTATGTGTTCGAGCAGGTGTGTTCTTATGTGCACTATGTGTGCAGAAGCTGTGGGAGGCTGGAAGGGGGTGAGGGACCCCCTGAAACTGTAGTGATTAAAGGTTGAGAGCCACTTTGTCCTTGTTGGGAGCTAAACCTGGGATTTCTGCAGCTTAATTGCTGAGTCATCTCAGTAACTTTTCCAGCCAAGCAGTAACTTCTATTGAGGCTGAAATTCTGATAAAGACAGTTCTTACAAAGCAGCTTAAATGTTCTTTTCTAATCCTCCCAAAAGAAGTAAGAGGAAGCCGTGCAGTTATAATACACCCTCTTAACAGGAACAATTATATGCAATTTTTGTTACTATTTTTTGAAAATCAACAAAATTTTAAAAAGCCCTGTGGTTAAAAACTGCTAGAATCTCAAGTGTGTATTAGAAGGAAAGTAGAAACACAAGGTTCTCTGTAAAAATATGTTACAATTGTCTTTAAAAAAAATCAATATTCTTTCAAGGAAAATAAGCCCTGAGCTGCAGGCTGCAAAAGGATTTCTAGTCTGGTCTGCTCTCTTCCCTCAGGCTCAGCCTGAAAACTAATCCAGCCACATCCCTTTTCTCCAGAAACCACTGTTCCCAAGGTCAGGGCTGGCACACACCTTGCTTCCTGATCTGTTTCCCATCTAGAGAGAATGCAAAATTAATTGAGCACACAGAATAATTCCTCAGGTGGAAAGAACTTCAAGCATTGCCAGGTCACACATCTCCGCTGAAATGATGCTTCAGAATGGAACAAGGAAACGCGGTAGATACATATTTTCATTATCAGGGACATAATAAAGATGCTTTGGCCAAAGACACCATGAGATCCAATGTCAGTAAAAATGTCTCCAAGTCAGAAAACAAACATATGATGAATTAAAAACCTATTAGATGCAATACCCTGCCTAATTTCGTTACAGAAAACTGGCTTACATAACACAGGTTTAAAAACATCTGTATCTCAGAAAAGCAAAAAAAGGAAGTAAAGAAAATAGTGACAGGAAAGTAATTTTTTTTAGCTACAGAACAAGATATGTAAGGGAAGTCAAGAAGATAAGACAACCGATAATGATAATTATAAAGGCAGAAAAAAACAATGTGATTGAATTAAGTCCAGAATCTGCTAAAAGATCTCAGTTGGTGAGATATAATATCAGCAAAAGAGCACTAAGGAGAAACCACAGCAGACGATACCTTCATACGTAGATGTAAAAATGCAGCTATTTCCAGGAAAGAGCACGGTGTGTCCTTATGCCACAGTGCGGCTATAAAAAAAAGAGGATTGAGGGAAAGATTACTACTGAAGACTTAGGGCTGTTGCATTAAAAAGATGTCTTAGTGAACTCGGAAGGCAAACCAGGTAAGTGAAGCCTTAGCAACCTACAGAAGAAACGTACTAAAAACCCCTTGTCAGTGATGAATTAGTTCAGAGGAGACCAAAAAGGAAATCCTTTCATTCATCTGATGATTAGGTTTCAGAAACCTACATAATCTGTTTATGAAAATGTGAATTAGGGTTTCCTGTTTGTTTTTGTTTTGCTCATATGGATTATGTAGTCAGAGCAGTAGGTCAATGTATAAATGTGTTCATAATTACAAAGTATAAATAAAACAACAAGAGAGTTGAACATCAAAATGAATTTGCATTAGAACTTTCAGATGGAAAACGAAAGTTTCAACTCTACAATATATTTAAATAAGTGAATCCTGAGATAGGTGTCCCTCTCACACATGACCACAAGCATCTCAAATATGCAGACTTGAAGCAATATTGACATGTTAAAACTCTATTGAATCTAAGCAAGAAAAACACTTAAAATTAATCAAACAACAAATTAAATAGAGCTGAAGAGAAAATTATTGAAAGTATAGAAAGAGTTGAGGAAATTATGCAAAAAAAATAAGAGAAAGCAACAAAACAGAGAATAAGAGAGGCAAAAAGGAACTTAGAATACATAAATAATCTAACATACATTTAATCAGACCTGCACAAAGGAAGAATAGATATAACGGGAAGTGATTTATAAAGGTTTATTGCTGAAATTATTCTACATATTCAGGAACACATTAATTTAATCATAAATGAAACTCAATGGAGCTTGGAGTGGATAAAAGAAAAGTGAAAGACCCCACAAATAAGCACGGAAGAGACATGTGGGACACTACACGTGAAGAGAGCGTGCAATCCGCTGGGCAGAGCACACCTACGAACGCCAGCAATTATGATGACAGCCATTTTTCCCACTTCATCAACAGTGGCAAAAATTTATGCCAAGTAATAAAAAAAAGTCAAAACTCACCTTTCCTCCTAAAGCTACCGAACTAGCTACAAATGATACTTTTGAAAAAATACAGCCAGTTATGACCTCTGTCAGATGAGCTAAATACATTTCTTACACTAAAGAGTCACCCAAGTGCAAGGGAAAAAAATTTCACAGTAAAAGTCTAGGAGGCAGGAAGATATGGAAAATAAGAAATAACTTTAAAATAAATACATTCATCTATAACATCAAACATTTTCCAGGATATAATCAAAGTAGCAACTAAATTTATAAGATAATTTTAAAGAATCAAAATATCGGATAAGAAATATGTCATACAAAAAAGCAGGAGATGAATAGTCAAATAAAATGAATTAGATGAAATGGATGAAATGAAAGCAAGCTAATTAAAATGCTAATTTTAAACATTCATATAAATATGGAGAATAAATCTCCCCATGTCGAGTAACAGGATAAGAAATTTCTAAATCTGAAGAAAACAAAAAGGCAAGGAACAATTGAGGCTTCTGGGTGGCTATAGCTGGTGGCAATGATATCAGTATTTTCTCCAAAAGCCATGAGAAGATCAAATGAGCCTCACCCTTCTCTGAGTACAATATGATGACAGGAAATACAAAACTTGAAAATGACTTAGCTAAAGGAAAAGAAAAGGAACAGACACCAAACTTGAGTGAGGTAAGCCACACCCAAAAAGAGGAACATGGGATGTACTCACTCATATTTGGTTTCTAGCCATAAATAAAGGACATTGAGCCTATAATTTGGGTTCTTAGAGAAGCTAAATAAGAAGGAGAACCCAAAGAAAAACATATAGGCATCCTCCTGAATATTAACCTTCATCAGGTGATGAAAGGAGACAGAGACAGAGACCCACAATGGAACACCGGACTGAAATCTCAAGGTCCAAATCAGGAGCACCAGGAGAGAGAGCACAAGCAAGGAACTCAGGACCGCGAGGGGTGCACCCACACACTGAGACAATGGG